CACGAAAGAAAATCAGTTTTGAATGGATTTATTTTAAGAATTCTAAACGGAGAAAACCATGGGTTCATCCGGGACAACCATCAACATCGACTGCAAAAACAGATCGATTCGTTAAGAAGACAATTGTAAGATGATAAGGATGTGGTCTGGTGGGATCATAAGGATGTGGTACATCATGAGCTTCTAGAACCTGGGGAAACTGTTAATACTAATCGCTACAGACAACAAATGATCAATTTGAACCATACATTGATCGAAATGCGACCAGAATGGACAATAAGTTACGATCAAGTAGTTTTGTTACAAAACAATGCACCTGCACAAAAAGCAAAATCGGTTCCGGATACAATCACACTATTGAAACAAATGATTCGACCTTAAGTAAATATAGCTTCAACATGAATAAACGAGAGAAAATCAAGGTGAGCTTTAAATGTTGAGAGATGTTCACGTTGTCGGCAACAAAGAAAGAGTTTATATTCTGTATAGATACTTCTTTAAATTTATTGTATTGGGACTACTGAACCTAAATAATAAATACATTTTTAATGAGATGAGATAAAAAACACTTGGTCTAATGTTAAGTTCAAAGTCTTCCATCCACTTATTTTTGTATTTTATTCTTCACTCGTGATAGTTTAAGAAATAAGCATTTGTTAAAACTTAATATTACACTGGTCTACAGTTGTTTTGAAGAATTCATCTCGATCATACCGCTCTAACAAGAATTCACCCTAACTTGGCAGACGTTATTGTACATATACATATGTATGTATTTATCAAACTAGTTGGGTTTGACAACTGAATAACGAACTTTCATATTTTTGTTGCTGGGTGGATGTTTGAGCATGGATATGTTCGTGTTGCGTTTATGTGGTTATCATAGTTTTATGGTTTTTTGAAGAAAAAATATATTGAATCCATTATCGGTTTAGCTCTGCGCTGTTACCGATACTTTACGGGCGCGAATTTTTCGAACGCACGAAACTGCAGTTTCCTTGCATTTTTCATGAATCTCATTTTGCCTGCTTCGTCGATATTTTTCTAAGTAGCAGGATAAACATTTATTGTAGTTCGACAGCTGGTAGCCGCGTCGTTTAGTGGCTTCTGATATACAACTTGAGGATTTTATTCACTTCTTTGTTGTTGTTTATTTAGCTTAATTTGTTTCGTAAACTTCTTTATATTTTATAGCAATATTTAGCACGCTTGTAAGTGGATAAAAGCATTTTAAATAATTTAAATTTTCTAACAAATGTCCTATTACCATTAAAGAAAAGTTCGTAGAACTCAAGTGCAAAACATATATTTTACTCAACCACTTTGTAAATTAGCGGAACTGCATTCGGATAGGTAATGGTAATGGTTGATTCTTTGGCTTTTTGGTTAGCAATTATAGTAGAGGTTGATATGTAATGTCGGTTAACCACTTTAAGCGGATTGCACCTTAAATAATTAATAAGGCTAGAAACAGGTATTCATAGTAATACCAAAGCAAGAGCCTTTGTCAGAGAAGACTACATGTCAAATTTATTGGGAATGTACATACATGTGGATGTTCATACATATTTATGTACCTATATAATTGGTAAAAAAATTATTAACTTTATAGTAGCCTGCATTTTCAGACATCATCATCAATACAGCGGAAATATTAAAATTATTTTAGTAATTATTTCTCATCATATTTGCAACTAACTTTTAGTTGAAACTATTAATAGAATCGCCTATGTAACATATGGTTTTATAAAAAGACGAAGACAGAGAATCAAAATCTGAGCCTTGTAACGAGTGGAAATTACTGTTTAGCACACTTTTGAAAAGATTGCACAGTGGTTCCGCCCATAGCCCAAAAATTAAAAAAATCCATCTCAGAATTTTTGGTCAAAATGTATACAAATTGCCTATAAGTTGGTGAATCTTCTTATTTGCAAATCGATTTTCAATAAAAATCTAACGGTACTTTCTAAAAATATAATTAACAAGTAAGGAAGGGCTAAGTTCGGATGTAACCGAACATTTTATACTCTCGCAAAGTCAAATGGTATACTCGTGTTAGATTTCTTTGTGGATCTTGCCGCCTTGTTCTATGTTGGCCGATATTTTCGGTAAAAAGTCAGCTATAGGCACTGGGGTCCACATATTCATTACCTAGGGGCTTAAACAGTTTTGACTCGATTTAGACGGTTTTTGGTCACAAGGTGGCATATTTTAAACGCATTATTCACGCAGAGTTTTACCCCGATACAATCATTTTTGCTTGATATGCATAGTGGAAAGTGAAAGAATCAGATGGAATTGAAAATGGTGTTATATGGGAAATAGGCGTGGTTGTAGTCCGATTTTCGCACTATGATATAGAAATATGAAAAGAACGTTATGCACCTAATTTGGTTGGAATCGGTTAAGCAGATCTCAAGATATGGGTTTTCACCTAAAAGTGGGCTGTGCCACACCCACTGTCTAATTTTGAACGCGGTTCCTATAAAGTCATTTCATACCATCCCAGAGATTAAATTTAATGTCTCTGGCGTGTTTAGTGCTTGATTTATAGCACTTTAAGTAGTACAGTTATATGAGGAGTGGGCGGAGTTGCCACGCGATTTCAACTATTTTACACTGTAGGTAGAGGTTCTAAAAACATTTGCTTCCAGTGAATTTTGTTATTTTAGCATTAGCGGTTTGGGAGATATGCACATTAAACCTATTAGGGGCGGGACCACGCCCACTTAAAAAAAACATGTTGAACTGCAGATGCCCCTCCTTAATGTTATCCTGTGTACCAAAGTACAGTCTTGTATCTTATTGCGGAGCTTAGTTATGGCAATTTATTTGTTTTTGATTATTGGCGTTTTGTGGGCGTGGCAGTGGTTCGATTACGCCCATCTGCAATACCAACCGTCTCACGGTACCAAGAAACATGTCTACCAAGTTTCATGACCGAATTAGATGAGTCCGCTTCTTTGAATACTTTCAACATTTTATGACATTATAAATCTGTCATAAAAATGTGGCAAGCTAGAGCACCGGAGCAAAAATTAAAAGTTTTGAAACGCAAGCAGAAAATTCAATCGGCATTTGGTGAAATAATGGAAATAATAGTAGACAAGTACAGAGATGCAGATCCAACGATGATAATGTGTCTAGAAACTTGTTTTCAAATTCGAAATTAGCTTCGGTAATTACAGGACTTAATGAAAATCTTATCCATCATTGTGCAAAACTAAAATATAGTACAGGAGATTGCAGTAGCCGGGGACACAAGTACTAAAAAAATTTTTTAAAGTGGTCGTTGCTCCGCCCCCTAAATAGTTTAATGCATATATCTTCCAAACCTTCTGAGAAGTTATTTTGTCATCTTTTCAAAATTAATAAATTGGGATAATAATCAAGCCCACTCCCCATATAACGGTTAGTTTAAAAACTACTAAAAGTACTATGGCGCCCTGAATAAATTAACCACAAGCATTAAACTTCGCAACCAGGATGGTAGAGAAGGCTTTTTTCTGGTGTGAAAATTGGACGTCCCATACATTCGTTGAACCGCCCACCTTTAGGTGAAATCTTATATATCAGGAACTACTCAACCGGTTTCAACCGAATTTGTTGTGTGGGATTACCCAAACATCCCTATTAGACACTGCAAAAATGGATGACAACCACGGCTAATACTCATATAACAAACTTTTAAATTCCGTCTGATTCCTTCACTTTACAGTATACAATGTCAGAATACAACTTTGCACAAATAGTGTACACAAGGTACAAGTATTTCATCCCACGTCATCTTATGTTAAAAATGGGTAGAAGCGGGTTGGCGCTTCCCTTAGCCCCCATCTACCTAACATAAACAATTTCGAACCTTCGGTTCTCTTTATACCGCATCTATCGGTCAATATGTAAGAAATCTTAATGAAATTTAGAAATAATCTTTTTCTAATAATAGTGTATCCTCTTTCCTTAAATTATTGAAATAACGACGATATTTTAATTAGTTTGATATAAAGTATTTATAATGGCGGATTCATACAATACCTTGCACATTTGTGCAATTTTACCAAAAGTTTTGTTTTTCAGAATTAATACCTTTCTTACAAAATTTTCAACAATGGGAAAAAGTTATACCTGAGTGATGTAAACTTTGCCAAACAGAAAAATGAAGTTATTGCTGAATGGACATTGAAGCAGAAAAAGGCCTAAAGTGAGAACGTTTCTCAGTGATCTTTCACTAAAAATTCAAATTAAGATATACATAGTGTGATAGGTAAAAGAAGGGAAAGAATAATGTGCAAGTAGCAAGGAAAATCTGTTAATATAAGAAATTTATATGAATTATATGAATACCCATGTTATAGTTAACAACTTAACCATTTGATTTTTATTTAACGCGACGAAAATGTTGTGGCCAAAACTGATGAGCCGCGCATATGAAAAATTTTTCGTGATCACTTGAATCCCTTGGAATGCTCAATCCCCAGGTACAATACTTGCCTTATCATTTTTAGTTTCAAACTAGGTGCAGAAACATTTCCATAAATATGTGTATGGTTGTTATTTGCAAAAAACTTTGCATGTCAACGACTTCTTAGCAATTCAACTTGACCTTTTTACCTTTGACAGTAGCTCAAAGTCAGTCCTTCTACTATATCATGTTTTTTTTATCATTCTCTCGTGATAGTTTAAAAATTCGTATTTGGAAGACTTAATATTATCTATGGTATTTATTATGTAATGTAAGTTATATGTTGCCAATATATTCGTTTCCAGAAAATGCGATTAATTTATTTTCTTATAGGATCCCTTATGGACATAACGCTACTGAACTCTTTCAATGAGACAAAAAATGGTTTCGACCCAATTTTTTTAGCAGCAAAGACAAAATTTACTAAGAAATCACTTCACGCTAAATATAAATGTGTACATAAATACCTAACGTGTGAGTAGGTATTTTATCTTTTTAATATCTTGAATTTGGCATAAGTTCGATACAACAATAGATCTTTTTTTGTAAATTCTGTATCTTCTTCTTTATTTATTTAAAAAATAAAAAATATTACATAGGATGCCTTAAGCTTTCAAATTATTGGTATTAAAGTAACAAATTTGTATTAATTTTGTTTATGTATGTACATATCACGTTTTATTAGAAGTTTGCAGTGATGAATAATAATTATTAATTATGTCCAATTGTATTACATTCTTAGGTTTCATATTAATATTGCATTGTAAACTTGTACTAAAGTTGGTAAACATTATTATTTTCGATCCATTTGTTTATTATAACATCAATGGAGCGGAAAAGAGACTCTCCATAACAATATAACAGGGTAAATTATATTAGTAAAAAAATTTTGCATACTATTTGTAAAAATGAAACTATTATTTAAAGATCCTAAAATAGTATTGTGTCAAAGCAAAGAACTGCTTAAGTCATGGTTTGGAATTATCTAAAATTCAGTCTACATAGATTTATAGGTTCTTCTTGAATTATTTGCTAAATTGTTCAACAAAGCTATTTCATCCACTCTATATATGTATATACAAGGTAACCTGATTTCTCCAAAACATGTATGTATGCATAATAATTTGGAAAGATGGGTCACTGCTAAGGTGCCATGCTACAGTCCGGCTTTGCCCTGCAAAAGATCTTCAAACTGTTTCTCCGACAACAAACGATATATACCATCTTTGTTCAAGTAATATATCGGATCTTTGATTCGACGAATATCGAAAGCTTCTCTGGAAAGCTCTATTTTCTTCAGTTTAAAAGTAGCGGTGCGTGGTATATCGTTCATTAATCTAACAAAAAGCGGTCGCGCATAGGCTGGCAAACTGCCCCGAACGCCAGCTGATAGATGTTGCATGTCCACTTTGCGATCAGGATCAACTATAGCTGCCATACCAGCTTTGCCTTCAACGTAGGGAATCTTTAAAGGATTGTAAAATTATTGAGACAATAATCACTACAGCTTTTACAGGGACGACTTACATCCACCCCATAAACAACACAATCTTTTAGACCAATCACGTTAGTAATATTCGCTTCCACTTCTTGTGTTGCGACATTTTCGCCACGCCAACGGAATGTATCACCAGTACGATCTTTGAAGTAGAAATAACCGAGGATGTCTACAACTACCATATCGCCAGAATTAAAGAAGATATCCCCTGAGCTGAATACATTTCGCAGCAATTTCTTCTCGGATGCTTCTCTGTCGGCATACCCATTGAATGCAGTCACCGCGCGTTTAGGATTCACTTTACCAACGAGTAAACCTGTCTCTCCCGGCGAACATCTTTGGCAATACCCACTCGTATTGCGAATGGGCTCGCCAGTTTCCTCTTCACATTTAATGATCTGCACTGGATAGAGGTAACGCACAATTAGTGGCACGAAACCCACAGCACCTACTTGATTGGTGACATTGGCTGAAAGTGGTAACACCGCGCATTAGTTTCAAAGCATTGGATTTAAGTAAATAAAATATTAAAGGAATAAATAATACCGAGATTGGAATTGCCCTCTGTAGAGCCGTAGACCTCGCCAATATGCTGAATATTAAACCTTGATACGAATTGTGACCAAATTTGTGGACGCAACCCATTGCCGTACATCAAGCGTAGTCGGTGTTGTGTATCTTCCGGTTTTGGTGAAGTGGACAACAGATACCGACACAATTCACCAATATATTGAGCTACAGTGCAATTATATTTAATGCAATCCTTCCAGAAATTTGATGCTGAAAACTTTTTTCGCATGACAATGGTACAGCCATGAATTAGAGCATTTCCCACCCCGACAATACCTCCAGCCGTGTGATACAGTGGCAACGCAGTATAAATAGCGTCGCTAACGTTAAGAGATAGCATATGATAGATTCCGCTAGCCATAAATAGATATCTAAAAACCTTCAGGTTTCGAGTTTGTCCGCAAGTAAGATATCATAATTCAACCTACCGTAAATTATTTATTACTGCTGCCTTTGGTAATCCCGTAGTGCCAGAGGTATATACGAATAATAATTTGTCCATTGTACTGCAAGCAGCAATGTCCGCGCTCAGATCCTCGATTGGTTGTAGCTCTAGGGCGGCGCTTAGATCAATAGCACCTGTTATAAGATCAATCATGTTAGTCCGTAGATTCCAAATTAAAAACAAAAATATACATGCTAACCTTTAAAAAGCTTAAAATTATCATTATCTCGTTGTTCTTCATCACTAAATTGATAAATTGGCAAGGTTTTGATTTCCACCTCATCGTGGATTTCTTCCAAAGCCTTACTGAGCTCTGTTCCAAAAACTATTATGTTGGCTTTTGATACTTTGATGGAATGCAGTAAGCTATCGCATCGCAGATTTGAATTAATTAAAGCTGTTACGACACCGATCTTTGAGAGACCAAGCCACAAGCACACAAACTCGGGTCTGGTCTCCATGATTAGAGCTACACAATCACCATGTTTCAGGCCTTGTGATTTGAAATATGCACCTACTTTGTTTGTATGGTTCTCTATCCACTGAAAACTAAGCGATCGATCGTCCATTATAAAACATGGCTTTTTCGGGTGCTTCTTCACGCGTTCTTGAAATATGCGCGCTATTGTCCATTGATTTCGTTCCATATGCATAATGAAGATGTTCATTCTAAGAAAACGATATCCAGCTCTGAAATCATTCAAACCAATCTGTTAAAAATAGTACTTTATTTAAAAAATATAAACTTGCATAATATCACGCTTAACCGTAGTCCCGAAAGCGTACACATACGTCGGGTTCCTAAACATTAATGCCAATGCAGCGCCCAAAAACAGACATCCCTTAGTACTGTCTTTGAACAATATGAATGCGAACAATCCAAAAAGAAGTATGACCACACGGGTGGAGTTGCGTTGTCTAAAATTCAACTCCAACAATATTTGCATGGTGTTTAATTTAAAATCTGTTTAAAGAAAATATAATGATAGATTTGGTTATTAATAACGGCCGATTCATTAAAAACGTAATAAAATGTCATAGATAAAATTCAACGTATGCTATTCAATCATAGTGAACTTCTAAATATCGTCACCTAAAACGCAAAACAATTTATCGTTATTCATATTCAAAACTGCATTTTTTATAGATTACAATTCACTACATCATATTTCATATATACATATGTATAACCAAATGTTAATCCTCTGCTATCAGATATTGCCAAGTTATAATCAATATTAAAAATTTGTTTAAGTGACGGCATGTATACAAGCATAGTAAAGCAACATCTCTTTGGCTCTAAAAATACTATCAAGAATTTTAGGAAAGTCTGTATGAATTTATATTCCAGACTCGACCAGCAACTTTCAGTAACCAAGTATTTAATCTAAAAGTCTTAAACTAATGAACTGGATCGATATCGGGAAGTTTTGTAAGACAATAATAAATATATAATATAAACTAAAGTATTAATAGCTAAAAAGTACTGGTGAAGTATTTCCGAAATCGTAAGAGATTGCAATTCAACGAGAACTTGTTTGGAATAATTAAAAGACAACTGAACTACTAATCCGAGAAGGCACTGGATATAAATGTAATACAAACTCTACCACAAGGCATTCACCATTCAGTCACATGTAGAAAAGTATCGCCCAATCACTTGCAAAGTATTAAAGAAGAAATTCTACGTTGGCTCAAAATAAAGGTTCTTGACACACAATTATCGGTAAGTATTCACACTTCGAGACTTAGTTTTATTGTTATATTTTAGTGGGCGCCAGCTAATATTATATTAAAAACACCTTAAAATAATATATATGTATATGATATTAACTCGACTGAAAAAGCTTTATTGTATTTAATATATATTGAGTTGCATTGCATTAGGAATATGAGGTTTAGACCAAGGTATATATTCTAATTCAGTGTCAAACCACATAATTTGCCACGGACTAATAAAATGCCCAGTGTTTCATTCGGGTACCTCATATATCAACACCAATCATATGGAGGAAAGTCAGACCGGATGTTCCAAAATCCTGATATTAGTTATATGGGGGCTAGGTCAAATTTTAACCAAAGTTTATTCATTTTAGGCACAACGATAAGATTAGTAAAACACGATCTCTCATTTTCATTGAGATAATTCTTATATTGGCCGATATATGCGGTATAAAGCCTACTAAAAGATCGAAAATCTTTATATTATATTAGGTTTGTGGGGGCTAAAGGAAGTATTGACCCGATTCCACCCATTTTTGACATACAGACATAGTAGTATTTGGAAAGGCTCCTCACTGAATTTCAATTACATATCTCACATATTGACTGATATTTTCATTAAAAAGTCAACTATAGGTACCAGAGTCCACATATTCGGTACCTAGAGGCTTAAACAGTTTTTGTTCGATTTGAACCATTTTGGAGCATTAGGTGCCATACTTTAAAGGCACTATTCGTGCAAATTTTTATCCCGTTATATTAATTGCTTCTTGATTTGTATACCGGAAAGTGAAGGAATCAGAAGAATGGTCGTAGCCCGATTTTACCCATTTTCGCACTGTAACATAGGAATGTCAGTAGAATGTTATATGTTATTATGAGTTAGTCTGAAATCGGTAACGTAGATCTCGAGATATCGGTTTTCACCTAAAGGTGGGCGATGCCACGACCACGCCACGATGAAGCATATTTCTACTATCATATGTATAATATTTAATGTGTCTGGCTTGTTTATTTAAAGAGTTATCGCACTGTTTATATAAGTATAAACCTCCCCCCTAAGTACATCACGTCACCTGGGAAAATAATGGCGCACCCTAATGCAACGCACCATTTCCACTATTTCACCAGCATTTTCATTTTTATAGTTAAAGTGATTCTATACGTGAGTGAAGTGAATATCTCAGTGGTCATCACGCACTTTTAGTGGTTTTTAGTAGTACCTTATATGGGGAGTGGGCGGGGTTTTCCCGATTCACCTATTTTCACACTGGCAGTAGGGAATCTAATGCGAATGAATTTGGTTATTATAGCTTTATTGGTTAAGGAGATATGTACATTAAACCTGGGACCACACCCACTTTTTAAAATTTTTTTAAACTGAAGATGCCCTTGCTTAATGCGATTTATTGTACCAAATAACATTCTTGTATATATCTTATTATGGAGCTTAGTTATGGCAATTTTTTGGTTTTGATTAATGGCGTTTTGTGGGCGTGACAGTGGTCCGATTATGCCCATCTACAATTGCATCAAAATATCTCAATTTTGACTAAAGTTACAGCTTGCACAGACGGACCAACGGTTCTCTATATGTTTCCGTTTAATGGCATTTCGTGAGCGTGGAAATGGTCCGATTACGCTCATCTACAATACCATCTTCTCCATTTCGCCAAGGAACACATGTACAAAACTTCACTCCGATTCGTCAGTTTTTACTAACGCTTGCCCCGACAAACGAACGGAGCGACATACAGACAGTCACGTGGAATTCACTCACCTCGTCATTCTGACCACATATTTATATTAAACCCTAAATTTCCGTCGCTTAGTTTTAGGTAATACAAACAACCATTTACTTAAATCTAATTCATTTAAAAGGAAAACATAATAACCTTGACATAATATCGCCCGGCAATCCCCCATGCTGGTTCTATGATCGTAACAAAATACCTTATTTAATGATTATGATGTAATTAAAACTATTTATAGATCGCTAGTTACTGCTGATATATGGACTAATATATGTATGCCCATATCTTCTACTAATTCTCCAGTACAAATAAAACTAAGTCGCTCTAACGTCATTAAAATATAAAAAATATATCAGTTGCTACAGAAGGACAGTGTCTAGTTAAAACTCCTACATCCACGGTGAACTTAGTTGAGAGCGAAGAGCTAACTAGATCTGCTACGATTTACGAAGAGCCAAAAGGACCTTGCGACTGCGCAGTCGCTAATAGTTGACTATTGCTTGCACAGCTAGTCTGAGCACCATCAACCAGTAGTGAACCGCAAGAGCTGCAGCTAGTGAGACTGAAGTACCTGACCTATCAAGCTCATCAGCATTGTAGTTTCCTGCAATATCGCTGTGGCGTCAGCAAACCAATCTAATCATGTAATAACTCGATACCAGAGATATGTAAGTAGTCTACCATAGACATCCCTTCTTGAGTTTCAGTCAGCGCGCTCAAGGCTGATATCGCTGCCCTACTATCGGAGTGGAAAGTCACCTCTCTGACGTTCTACTTTTACCCACCTGCATTTGAAGGATGCTGTTCTTGGCAATGTAGAGCAAGTAAATAAATTAACTAGAGTAAATAAGCAAAAGTGTTTAATAATTGATAGGAATTTATTAATCTCGATTCTATAAGAGTTAATAATTTATTAAAGTTAATGTGTCAAAATTATTTAAAATAAATTATTAGAAATTAAATGTTATTCGTTTATAAAGGTATCTAGTTTTTTAGAAATAAATTTAATTTATAAGTTTTTGTTTCTTTTCACATTTACATTTTTTGTAACATTTTAAATAAGATTTAAAATGTGTCAGCCGATTAACATCTTAGTACGAAAAACGATGTAACTTATCTTGTCATACACTTGTACAGAAGGTTTACGTGGAGAAAACACATATCAAGCGAAATTATTAATATAGATGTAGGGTTATATACATATTATATAAATAAATTATCAGGATGAATAGGCGAGTTGAAATCCGGGTGACATTCCGTCCGTCTGTACAAACTATAACATAAGTAAAATTGAGATCTCGTAATTAAACTTGGTTCACGCATTCCTTGGCAAAAAAGAAAGAAGCAAGGCGTAATCGGACCACTACCATGCCCTCAAAACGCCATTCAACGAAAACCTATAAAGTGCCATAAATAACCACTAAATAAAGATATATTATATAACTGTCATTCGGCACAGGGTATCGCAGTAGCAAGGGGCAACTGTGAGGTAAAAATAATGAAATAATGGGCGTGGCTCCGCCCTCTAAGAGGTTTAATGTACATATTTCCTAAACCTTTCAAGTTATTATAACCAAATTCCCTTAGGACAAATCTCTTAATCATCTTTTTAATATTGTAAAAATGGATGAAATTGGATGATAACCCCGCCCACTTCCCATATAACGGTTCTGTTAAATACTACTAAAGGCGTGATAAATAAATAAATAAAAGCTACTGTTAAAATTGGACTATGGGCGTAGCAACGCCCACATTTAGGAGAAAACCCCCGGGACTTGCCCCACCGAATTCAACCAAATAGGTTTGAACCAGTGGGTACATTCCTATGTTGCAGTGCGGAAATTGGCGAAATTGGTCTACAACCACGCCTACTTCTCATATAACACAATTTTAAATTCCATCTGATCCTTTCACTTCCCAGTATACGAATTAAACACCAATGATAAAACTTTGCACGAATACTGCCTTTGAAAATCTTATTCTAAATATGTTGGTCAGTCTATGAGTTCTTTATTTATAAAAGTGCTTAAAATCATTTTCTTAAATATACCTGAACAATGTCAAAATTTAGTGAAAACAGCCCAGAACTTTGCTGCCCAAAATATACCTCATATAATACTTTCTGACTACGCACCTGTTTTAAAACCGTTTAGGTTGGTCTAAACGTGTGATATAATAAAAAATTTAAATATTAAAAATTTATAATAAAAAATTTATGTGGACAAATTTTCTTAAAAATTATGTGGTTTAGGGCTGAATATGAATGGAATTGGCTTAAAACTTATCCTTGACATAACCAATTCCGATCCTCTGGTTGACGTTTTGCACATCTCCTCAATATATTAAGTTTAGCCTATTCGATTGAGTTTATGTCAGATATATTATTTGAAGATGATTTTCGCTGACGGTTAATACAAGTTGTTATGACAATTTCATTGGGTTTACGAAAAAAGACGATGAGAAATGGCTTTAAAAGGAACTAACATTA